CTTTTCTAGAGCTTCATTGCCTCTCCTCTCATCTCTGGCTGTCAAAACCACCATGACTCCTTTACATGCCAACTGCCTACATAGCTCAAACCCTATTCCCTTATTTGCCCCCGTCACAACTGCATACCTAGAGAAATAAAAAGATGAAAATGGTAAGGGCTTGTTAGATGCACAATATCGAATAGAACTAGATAATACAACAGATATCGTTTTATATATATATATATATATTCCTTAATACAACCTAATCTTGTCTAGTACTGGGTATCAAAACTGCCCCCAAAATCATTTGGGTATGAACTCATTAGTACTTATGTTGGGATAGAATCTACAAGAAAGCTACCAAGATCAACGGAGTGAGCTCAAGCAATTTGGGTACTTTAGGAAAAACTCCTACGATAACTGTTCTATTAGTAAGTAGATAGAGGGAAAAAGGTTCTAAAATTTGTGGCCTTGTATAAATATAGGACCTTAGGCAATGTCTCACCTGCCTAAGGGTTGAGCCACCTTTAGATCAGGTATGTCAAGATGATTTCAAGAAATTGAGGGTTCATAATCTAAACTAATTTCCACGAAAGATTAACAGCCGTCACGGAAAATTTTCTTTTCTACTACGGTCTAACACTCTTTTTCACAACTATTATTAATTAGTCAAATATGAAAGCTAAATCTGGCTTAAGTAATTTGATTGAAAACAAGTTAATTTACCTGTTTGATGACTGGTTGCTCATTGTTTCTGCCCTTACACTCTTCTCTCTGCTCACTTTGAAGCTTAATATTACTCTATACATATAGACAAAAGACAAGTCACTCCCACCTACTCCATTTCAAAAAAATATACAGCCAAATTGACTTCGAAGTGTGGTCCATAAACGGGTTTTTAATCAAATGAACTGCATTCTCCTTTATTTTTTTTAATAATGGAGACAAGATACTGCATTGTAAGATTGTTATTTTTTTTATTAACATGACAAGATTATTAATTTATTAAAGTAATTTGTAATCTTCAAAGAATTCAAATCCAACTTGAACACCTTCAATGACTTTGGAAAGATTCAAAGAATGGTCAAAAGGATAAGTTTTTGTGTTAAAATCCAAGATAACACTATAAGAAATACAAGTTTTGCCAACCCAAAAATTGGTCGCTAAAAATTCAATATTAGCCGGTAAAGCCAATCCTGACTAGAAAATATTGGTAGGCCACTGGTCACCAAAAGCCAGCTAGCAAATATTTTATACAACCAAACAACAATTTAGTTGGAAGATACAATTTTTTATCCACCACCAACATTGTTGGAATTTGGGCCTTCAATT